GAGAGAGAGAGAGAGAGAGAACGACATGTACGAGTGTTGGGCCTTTAGCGATAGTTTGATAGTTTATGTTTCCTATTGGACTAGGGTTGAGGCAATTTGTGTGATCTTTGGTGTTTTCCTTGTTCGCCGTTTGGGTAATAGTTGTGATAATTTGTTGCGATTTTTGTGTAGCGTTTCTGCATGCGATGAAATGGAAGAGAGAGTGTCGCTCTGTAGAAACACCATTATGGTGGGTGGTGGGGTTTCCATGTGAGAAGGTGCAGATTAGTGGAAGTGGTTTTCCCTAAATCGCGAGGAGGTGGGTGGGTTTGCGGGATCTATGACCCCTGCCACGTGGAAGGTAGGGTATTACTGCTGAGACGTTGAATTTGGTTTAGTTATTTATTTCATCTTAATAGGGTGGTATCATGCTATCATTTGAATTCTTGAGGTAGAATGATGAGCATTGCTCCACTGGGGCTTTTTCATGGAGGGTGGGGAAGCATCCGTAGGGATTGTATGCAGAATTGAGGGAGGGGCTTACCCTAAATCGCGAGGAGGTGGGTGGGTTTTGGGGGGCTTTTTGGCCCCTGCCACGTGGGAGGTGGGGTAATCCCCTAGGTAGTGAAAACAACATCGTGGTGGGAGTTGGTGTTTTTGTATGAAGAGTGTGGGGAGGTGCTATCCGCTTTGAATCACGAGGAGGTGGGTGGGTTTGCGGGGTCTCTGCAACAGTTTGGGGCCTGTGGGCACAGACCTTTGCCGCACGGGTGGCAAGGTGGATTGGCAGGGGTTGGTAGTAACTCTGGATGAATAGAGGACTTGATCAAGTAGATATGACCATTGGTTCTTTTCTGTGGCTTTGATTGCCTTTTGCATATGGTTTTTATTTCATGGCTGGTGGAATTCGGGTCACTAAATTAGGGTTGTCACGAATGTTGTGATCAAAGTTTCTTGGTGATTAACTTAGATCTTGGCAATGATTTTCGTTGATTTTTCAATGGTAAGGCCTGTGGAGTTGGTTATGGAGTTGACTGTGGGGTGAAATCTAGTGGTGCCTTCGATGTGCTTGGCCAGTGATGCCTTGCCCCCTGCCGACCTCACCTAATTTTGTAAGGGACGCCGGGCCCGGTTCTCGACTTTTATAAATAAATAAAAACATTGCTTAAAAAAAAAAAACAAAAAAAAACAGATGCTTTTTTTTTTTTTTTTTTTTTTTKTCCCCGTAAKTTTTTTTTTTTTTTTTTTTAAAGGTTAATTYTTTAAGCCTAACCAATTCGAATACCTGGAATCATAACGGGGAGGGGGCGCAACCTTGCTTCGGCCGGCGCTATGCACTCCGCCAAGCGTTACCGGGCTCGTTAGAACCCGAGCTGCCGCCCAGGACGACCGTGATATCGCCATGAAGCCTCTCACACCATGCGTCTTGCTTCAAGGGCAGATATGGTGCCGCACTAGCAATAGGTGATGAGATTGGGCAGAGGAAGCACCTCCCCTCAAGCAAGTAAGTGACAGTAGCAGCCGAGTGTTGGAAGCAGGAGACACCCCTGAAGACTAGCATAGAGTGTCAAAGAGAGTGATAGGTGAAGCTAATGGAGGAGATGCAAGAGCAAGGGGGGTCGGGGCGCTTCCCCCCCCAGGGACCTCATGAAGAAAGGAATTATTGGGAGGATGAAGATATAATTAGAGACCTGTACCCCACAAAAATAGAGCCAAGCGAGATGGTAATCAAAGGAAGGGAAGTGAGATTCAAGCTCAACACATCACTCGATGACATCAAGGTCAAATGGCTGAAGGAGAGAACGGTAACAATGATCTTCAAGGAGGCGGCACATTATCTTCCGAAGTAAATCAAGGATGACTTGGTTCGAGCATTTGAGGACGGATGAGTGTTAGGCAATGACTAGTTTACAAAAAACTCTCAAAAAGGGAGAATCAAGATAGAAGGCCTGAGAGTGGTATCTTACGTCGCAAAGGCTAGAGAAGTGGCGAAGTTCATGGTGGCAAAAAGGCAAGTGGATGTTTCACTGGGAGACGAGTCTTACAAAATATTGTTTAAGCCATGGACGACTCGAGCTGAATTTAAGGAGATAAGAAGGCAAGAAGAATAAAATACGTTCTGGGTAATTGCTCTGCAAATCCCGCTGGACGATATGTCATTTATCTACGCCCAAATTGAGAAAGCCATAGGCAAGATTATCCTTGCTCATCCACGGACGCAGATCCGCTCCACCCCATATTGGTAAATGCCCAGTTTGACTTGGACTCAGATGCACGTCCAAACATGAAAGATGTTTTATGGATTGAGACAACGAAAGGCAATACCCTTTGAGATTCGACTGGCCACCGCCGGAACTCTAAAATGCAGGAGGTGTAAACAGTTCTTCCACTCGGAGCAAGAATGCAGAAGAGGTGGAATCGGTCTTCGGAACCAAGGAATAGTCGTCGGGGATCCAGTAGGTCAACAACCGTCTCAACAACAAGGACGTCCGTCAACGCCAAGAGGGGGAGGCGCAAACCACAATTATCAGGGTGCTTTGGCACCGACATCGACAGTTCCAAAGACGTCGGGCGGTACAAGTTCGATCCGGAATAATCCGATCTTCTCACCTTCGAGAGGAGCAAGAGGACAGTTCACGCATACAAGTATAATGGGGACACAAGCTTTACACCCGAGCTATGGAGGTGGCCACTGAGTTTTTGATATGCCCCCAACCCAGGGACCCACGATTCAGAGCGGAGTATGGCAGGGGGGTATCCCCATGCACGATTGAAATACATACAATGGAGGACTCGGAGGCGCATGAATATGGCAGGGTGGAAGCGAAGGATCGTGGCAAGGTATGATAGGTGGACAGGGAACGTGGGGACCACCGGCCCCACAGGGACTGGTGGGGTTACAAATGTCGAACACTCTAAGCCTACCTAATCAGGGAGAACGGATACTATCCGGGTGAGCCGACGGAAGCATAACAGGCTATCCAAGGGGCGGAAATCAAGCAGATATCTCAGGCAGTGGAGGGGGTCCAGGACAGGCAGAGGAAGGTACACCCGGCGATCAAGAGGACAATTAGCTGGGAAGCAACGACGACTAAACACGACCTTAGGAGTCACACCGGAACCATCAAGATTGTCGAGAGAAGGGTCAGAAAGATCAGTCAGTCAAGAAGTAGGGATGGTCAAGCCGAGGAACAAAACAACGCGAGACAGACGCTTCACAACTGCTACGCACAATCCAGGTACGGAGATGGCACAATATATTGTCCCACTTCTGTGCACGATGGCGTGGAACGCCTGCTGGGCAGTTGTGTGTCCGATGAATGGAGAACGGATGGAATTCAACGTCGTTGAATCCTGTTTAACAGGTCCGGGACCCCTGTTGAATCCCGTTTAATGCAAGAACGGGGGTGCCCCGTTGAATTCCGAAAAACGGCATGGCTGTGTTGGGCCTCGGACACGTGGCCCTACGTGCCTGAACACTCAAACCGGCAAAAAAAAAACAAATTCCACCACACCCCAAAATCCCCCTATGGCCCCACCCAACAACCTTTGATGAAGCCATTACGAACGAAATGACACCCCAACACTCGCAACTGAAATCATACATGGAAAATGTAATGGACGTGAAAAGTCGTAAAAGACCAGTCACTGAAATCACACATGAAAAACGTAACATGATACGATGTATCCTGCTACTACGCCACTAGTGCCACACTGCCAGATACTACAAAATAGGAAAACAGTACTCTACAAGTCGTGTCGACGGTGGCGAGATACTCTACTACGACCAATACTGTACAGATACCCCACTCATACCAGAATCATACACAAAAAAATGAAGAAAACAACAACTACAACACACACACTACCAGACTACCAGTGACTACCTGACACTACTAAGATAAGACAGCACGACCTAAAACCAGCAGTGCAGAATATGACGAAGTCGTGTGCAAGTAGGGGAAAGCGGAGTGCTGACATGACGACCACCGACCCCTCTTCCCCTTCCCGCTTTGCCTCCTCGTACCCCCTTGAGCGCCGGATGTTGGCCTCCTCTTCCCTTGTGCGGATGAAGACGTCTGCGCAGCGGAGCGTCTCGATGCACGTGTTGGCGGGGGAGGTGGGGGCTCATCGTCGTCATTGTGGTCACCGCTATTGCCGCTCTCGCTGTCCTCCTCCTCACTCTCCTCCTCACCCTCATAATCCTCGTCCTCCTCCTGAACTGTCGGTGCCGTCTTAGGATCATCCTCCTCGATGGTGAAAGGGCCGTCTCCCTTCCTCACCAGAACAACCCTCGTACTAGCCTGTGCGACCGTGTCCTGACGGCATGATCCACAAGGCATCCCCACCCCCTCCACCCCCGAAGACTCTCCAAGTGCAGGGCCTCCCTCCGCTGGCACGGGCCGTGGACGAGGCACTACACGCTTGCATGGAGTCTGCTCATGCACAACACGCGTCACTGCTCTCAAAGCGTGGTCCAAGGAGGAGGTGGACACTCCTCCGCCACGACCTCGCTGAGGCTCACAACCTGCTGCTGCAAGCTCCCTCGCTCCAGTCGTCCTGGTACCGCCGCTGCTGTGGGTTCCCAAACCCGGCCGAAGGCGTGCGGTGAGCTTAGTGACACTGCGGGTGGAATCCAAATCTATGTCCGTCCTCCCGAATAATGTCGTATCACACACATCCCGCTCAACCACTGTCGTGTCAAGAAATACTCGATCTCCCGGGCATGTGTGGGGATCGAGAGCCTCTGCCTGTGGGTGATGACGAAGGATCACCCGCACGTGGTCTAGGAGGAGGGGGTGGCATGTCTCCTGCACGTGGCGCTCCCTCCTACGGGCCCCCTGAAACCCCCGGAACATCTGCCCTGCTATGTCCTCCACTGGAGGTAGACCCAAACCACACTGGCAGCGCAGGACACCATGGAATCGAAGGGATCGTCTGCCATCGGGGATGCTTGAGTTTCGGGCTAAATATCCGCTGGTCTAGTCGAGTCACATTGCGCACAGCGGCCGCTGCCAACTCCTTTGCATCCAATGGATGATTGACCTCCTGCGGAGCCGGTCGCCGTGGACGTGGAGGCTCAACTGGTGGCTCGGACCCCAAATCCATGATAATAACAGGTGGCACATCATGCATTACCACCTCAGCCGGCTGTGACCGTCGGGCCTCGGCCAAGTGCAGACCCGAGAACGGGACAACTGGACCCGTCACTGTCTCGTGAACCGCGGGCCGTGCGTCGCCAGGCCCCCCGTCTCGCCCCTGTCCACCCTCCACAGCCTCACCCACCGCATGTGGCCCACCCTCCACAACCTCATTCGCCGCCTTTGCTGCCACTCCCTCCATGACGTCCACCCCCGCCACCGCCCCACCCTGCCCACCATCTCTCCTTGTCTCTCGACGCCTGCGCTCCCCCAAGGCTCATACGAACGTCTGAACACGCAGGTCGCTGGATGCCATAAGTCGATCCCTCTCTCGCTCTATGATGTCGCGTGCCGCATCTAGAGACTCCGCCACCGTCCTCTATCTCGGGGTTTGCGCCCCGTCTCACCTGCCACCTCGTCCAACGAAGGGGCCCGATCCGTCGATGCCGTCCTGCCGCAAGTAGGGGAAGTGCCCATCGATATATCAAAGTCGAAGTGGGTCCCCATCTCTGAACCCGCCCCGCCCTGTGGTAGGAGACATCCCCAACCCCCTCGCCACACCTGGGGTGAAACCGCCCACGACTGGATCGAGCTTCTCCGTAATGAACTGCTGCATGAGATGCTCCTCGACGTCGTCACCCCCCAGTGGCATCTGCACCATCATGCTCCATAACAACGTCTGAGATCACCGTCGCTGGCGCTACCGCCTCTCTCCCCTCCACTGCAGTTGCTATCTCCCCCTTCACCGCTGCTCCAGCTGGCACCTCCTCCTCCCCCGTCGCCACTGCTGGTACCTCCTCCTCCGCTGCTGCTACCTCCCCCTCCATCGCTACCTCTGCCTTGACCTCCTCCTCCGCTCGGGGTAGCACCCTCGTCCGCCGGAGTGGCAAGGTGACCAACCTCCTCCTGCAAGACCCTCAGGGAAGGTGATCGTAACCTCAGCCGAAGGACCGCCACAAATCTCTGCAGAAGTTCGTGCTGAGGCAAGGAGGATGCCAACTCCTCCGTCTCCGCCGCTGCCGTGGCCGACTGAAGTGGCGAGACAGGCGATGGTGGTGCATGACTCGGAACAGGAGGTGTTGGCATGGACGACTCTCGCCTCGACAGAGTAGAAGTCGTTGCCCGGGGCTCTATGCAGCTCATGCCTGCATGAGAGCTCCTGACTCAATCATCCCGCAAATCACCTGTGTAAACCACCTCCCCGAATGGGCCCCAACAATCCTCGTCTCTCCCCGTCATCTCCCTCTCAGCCCGGTCCACGGCCCGACATGCGGTGTATGTCCTTGTCTCCATGTCGTCGGCATCCTCGTGCGTCTCGTCGATCTCAGGAGGGATGGGGAGCGCAGGGTCATCTGCTGCCTCGGGTGCCGGCTCCTCATCCGAGTCATCGTCCCTGGGGTACGGACGAAAAATGCAAGCACGTCTATCAAAAACAGCATCAGCAGAGGGCGGTGCGAACGTCCCGATGGGATCGCACGTAATAAGTGTCACCTGTTGTGCTATCTCCTCCTGCGTCATCCCCCTGCGCGTGCCAGTGTGCACCGACTCCACCTCGAGTCCTGCCTGGCAGTCAAGCATGCCCTCGTCCCGCTGCCATGGCAGTACATAACTGCATCCTGCCCGCCGATAGTCGTTCAATCGCACATTTGCGCTGATCTCAACGAGCTGCACGACCTTCTTGAAGGTCAACTGGTTACGCTTCTTCGTATGGATGCCCTCGTGGATTGCCCAGTTCCTCTTCGCTGGAGAGGCGCAGGACCACATGTGCACCACACGAAGAGCGCACCGCTGCAACTCAGGCGCGCCAGCCCCGTACTGGGACCACCAAGACGAGCACTCGATCGTCTTAGCGTCACCGCTACACGAGAGCCCACGAGCACGCCTCTTTATCCCGCCCCAATCGCCAAACCTGCCCTGTTGCATGTGGACGTCCTCAAACTGCTGACAGGCAACGAAGCAATCTGCACCGTCTAACTCGAAACCCGTCTGCGACAGAATGTACCTCTTGGCTTGCGTCACAAGCCAAGCATGGTAACCCTCCACCTCACCTGAAAAATAATGAACATGTCGCCTGCAGGGGTCCAGTAAAAACCCAGCACAGTGAGTCGACTCAAGCATGTGTTTTGTGCGGGCCTGCACACCCCCGATGATCCGGTCTGCGAAGGACTGCCTAAAGGAGCGTATGCATCCTTCACACGGTGGACAAGATCCTGTGTCCACTCAATCATGAGCGACATGAACTGCCCTCCACGATTCATCTGCCTCATCAACTGCATGACGGGCTCCATGATATGGACGATAATGACCACCCTCTGCCACCGAGGATCCCATCTGATTTGTCAGCACACCCAACACACCATGATGCACACATCGACGGACCATGGGATGGAAGCAAAAGCCCGCGAGTCGTTCCCTCGCATCATGCCCTACAAAGTGTCCTGTTGAGCCAGCACTGCTGAGCCAGCAGCCTCTCTAGCATGGAGTAAACAGACGCAAACCGCGTCTCACAGGAAAGAATAAGACCCTTATTGGGGTTGCGCTTCCTAAACAAATGAAGGGCAGACTGGTAGGTTTTGAAAGACAACATTAGCACACGGGCGCGTGTGATCGTGTCCACAAACGTGTAGCAACTCATCCCCATGTCTGACAACAATTTGTTGCAGACATGGATGGAGCATGAGAGCCAAATGATCCTCCTCAGTGCAAGAGGCATGGTCGTCGAGGCCATTGCCCTTGCAGCCCCCACGTACGCTGAAGCGGAATCAGTGCATATCACATTGACCCGCTGTGGCCCACCGAACCCAAACTCGTGGAAGATGGTGACCCATCTCTGAAGGACGGGCTTTGCATCATCTGGCTCCCCCTCTTGATTGATTGTCATGTACATGACGACCCCACACGAGCTTGCGGCAACGAAATTCACGATCGGCCTCCCATTTCATGATTTCCTCCCGTTTGAGAGGATGGTGGCACCAGTCACCTAGAATGGCTGCCTCACCTCCTCCAATTCCTCCACTAACTCCGCACGTTTGGGTCTCCACCGCCTGCATGCTTGCGATCTCGCTGTGGCTGGGGAGCACAGCGCGCGGCGAACTCCCAGGCTCAAGAAGCACTTGTTGATATGCCTTCCATACCTGATTGCGAAAGGCATTGAAGGAGATCCCGCTGGAATAAAGCAAGCGAAGGAAGACCTTGTGGCGAGCAACTCACTCCCCACCATAGACCTCAATCACCTTCTGCTAGCGAAGCTTCTTTCTTGCTTGGGTGGCAGCCAGATCAGTTCCTCCTTCCTTCCTCGTTGAAGGACCCTCCTCCTTCAGACCCGTCGATATAGGCACCTGTTCCTTGCCTGCTCACTGCAGCCACTCCACCATCCTCTCCCTAGTGGTTGGATGAAACTCTTGCACGTTCTGATGTCCCGGAATCCCTCCTCACCCGGGCCACGTGCCTCGCGATCGATGTGGATCACGTTCTCCTCCATGTCACCTCCTCCACCCCCCAATGGGCGGTCGGACGCACCTTGCCTACCATCTCCTCCGCCCCCTCCCTCCACCGAACGCTGTCCCGCCTGTCCTCTCCTTGCACCACTGCCTCGGGGCACATCAGTCCACGCTCCATTGTGTACCTCCCAACCCTCTCCATCTGGTCATACTCAAACTTCTGTTGAGTCCGTCTTGAGATCTCATACAATGCCTCGTCGCTGACGTCCTTGCAGTACTTTGTCTGGGCGAAGTGCCTCATGGCCTAGTACCGAGTCCCCTGTAATACGTTGTTGCAAAACGTGTAACGCAGCATCATCACCCCCTTGTTGTCGACGTTCTGGTCGACGACAAGGTACTGATACAAAGGGAACCGACTATTGAACGTGTTCTGCACATGGTTCGAAGTCGGCTTATGCTGCCGCCGTTGTGCCCTCCCCATGGCGACCGCCCTCTACCCCAATCCCCGACCCTACCCCCGTCTCTGTTTCACGTCAAGGACTAGCCCGAACACCGCCGCACACCGTGAAACGCCCAACGAATCAACGTTGTTCAATCGTGTTCAACGTCGTCCAATCGCATTGAAACGCATTCAACGTCGTTGAATTAAAAATTCAACGGCGTTTGTCGGCGCCAGGTGTGCTCAATCCGCCGTCATCGTCGACCCCGCTCCGCTGCTGCTCCCGCTCAGGTGTCGCTCCGCTCCAGCCACCGCTTCCGCTGCTCTCTCTCTCTCTCTCTCTCTCTCTCTCTCTCTCTCTCTCTCGCGCGCGCGCGCGCGCGCACGCTCGTTGGACGTCGTGCACAACACGTGTTTGTCGCGTTGAAGAGTTTCGGCTCACGCAACAAACAAAATGCGGCCGAGTGAAACGACCCTTTATGTAGTAGTTCCACCCGGCCCTCCTCAAGCAGCCCGCCCAACACTGCTACAGCGCTACCGTGAAAACGCCCTGCACGTTGGGGTCGGGTTGTTTATTTTTTCTAATTAAAAAATAATAAAACAAATTTGAGGGCATGAGTGGTACCCAACAGGCCAATGCACCACCTCAGGCCCTCAAAAACCCCGTACCCCCCACCAACCGCGCGAAAACCAAGTCCGCGGACCCCGTTCATTCGCGTCTAACGCACGTTTGGACGGGGATTTAACGTGAATTCAACGAGCGTTGAATAATTCAATGTGGAACCCGTGTTGAATCCGAAATCGGACACACAACTGGGCAGTACTATGGTAGAAAAATGCAGGTCCGTTGACAATATTCAAGCAAGCAGTTTCGAAGATGCCGATGCTGTCGGATGTGGAGGAAAACTTAAGGACCTTGTACCTGAACTGTTTCCCAGTAAGGGTAATCCCTGACCTAGCCATGCCTCGGATTCTGTTGGGTCCATCAGGGAGTAAGATCAAATTTTATGTCTCGATAGTCGATGCTAGGCTCACAAAAAGCTTCTGGAGATGGAAGCGATGGGGTTGAGATTGGTCTCGCTGTCAGTCTTTGCAGAGATGGTACTGGTCGGGAATCCAGGAAGATGTGAAATACATCGTCCGGACTTGCCTGGCCTGCGCGGCCAATAAAGCGCCGATACAGATGCCTCGTACAATAGTGCCTACCCGGGTAGAGCGCCCCTTCCAACGGGTCAGTATCGATACGACGGACATCAACGTGTCGAGAGGCCATGTTGATCAAGGAGAACTCAATGTTCTTCTTGTAGCCGTAGATCATTTTTTGAAATGGATCGAAGCGTATCCAATGACCAGCCGGAACTCTCAGGAAGTAGCCTGGTACATTAATCGCTTTTTGTGCATGCACCTGGACGTAGAAGAGATACATATGGACAATGGATCCGAGTTCCAGGGGGAAGTAGAGCGACATCTTGTAAGGGCAGACGTTAGAATTTCATACTCCCCAGGGCATTGGCCTCAAGCCAACGGGCTCGTAGAGAATGCCAACCGAATGATCAAGACTGCACTTAGACGGAATATCATGGCAGGTGATACCAGGCCCTGGCCTGTCATAGTCGACCACATTTTGGCCGTCTATCGGGCTACTCCCCACGGGAGCACCGGGGTGTCCCCGTTCCAACTGAGAACCAATAGCGTCCCCAGAGTGCAGTTGTCACCTCTAGTGGGTACGAAAGTTAGAGTGACCCGGGCCCAGCACAAGGACAAGGCTCAGCATTACCTGGATCTGATGGCCCGGACCTATCCCACGTTAGCCCGAAGACGACAAAGGGCCGTAGATCTGACGCATCAACGGCAGATCCGGACTATGAGAAGCGACACGCGACAGCGGGACTAATGGGGGACTTGGTGCAGGTACAGAAATCTGCGCGCTCCTCCAAGATCCACCCACGCTATACCGACATTTACGAAGTGACGGAAGTTGGCGCACGAGGACAGCACTCCGTGAAGCTGGTCCCCCGGCATAGCACGCAGGCCAGGTCGCTTACGCGACACTCGACGGCTCTTCGGCTGTTTCGGCCATCTCCGGGCCGCGAATCGGCTCGTGCCCCGTCCGAGCCTTCATCCTCTCTCTCCTCCTCTCCTTCTTCGTCCTCTTCCTCTTCACGATCTTCCTCGTCCCTTGGTGCTGAGAGTTTCAGGGAGCAGGATGAACCATCGCCAGCCAGAGCATGAGCCCCTCGAGCATTCCCAGACACCGCTTGCAGATCGCTTGTTGCGGCATCAGTTCAATGAGGAGAGGCAGTTGCGATACGACATTCAGCAGGTGAACGTGCCAGCGCCCGGGGTTGCTGATCTGGTGGCGTACTCGTTACTTTGTGATCGGCTGACGTATGCGGGGGTGTACGTGGACGTGACGCAGTTTCCGAGGCGGGAGACGACTCGAGTGTTCATCAAGTTCCGGGCGCTCCAGGTGGCACCTAACTTCGTGCATAGCGTCGCCACCTTCATCGGAGATTTGACGATCTTGCCGCCGCAGAGCCGGGAGCTGGCGCGGAGTTTTATGCGCGAATACGCAGTGCAGGCGGCCAGATCAGTGGCCAGAGTGCAAGGACGGGGGGGACACCGATTCACAGCCCACGAAGCGCTGCTGCGCAGGGCAGCGGATGGACCAATTGCGTTGGTGCCACGACTCCCCACGCTTCTTCCTCCCGCTGCCCCTCTCAACATCCAAGCTATTCCCCCTGCCCATACTAAATGCATCCCTTCTTCTCTTACACCACTCTCCCCTATCAACTCACGGAGGGCCCTTATCCTATGCGCGAGTTCTCGTAGTATTTGGTGGAGCTGACTGACGTGGAGCCGTTGCCCTTCGCAGACGAAGACACGTGGGAGTTGCACCGAGCGCTGTACAAGTCGGTGGCGTTGGGGATGTTCCGATTCTTCGTGGATCACGAAGACCACTGCATCGGGGAGCACTTCGTCGTCTATTACGTCATCACACGGCCCAAGCCAGCGCAGAAGGAGGGGACGGTGGCGCTGTACCCATTCGCCCAGCTCCAGACGATCGATCCGGGATTGTTGGAGCTCATACATCTTGAGCTCCTATCCATTGCGCAAGTGATCGCGAGCGAGGAAGAGGAGATCCAACCACAATTGCGGACGGCGGCTGCCCCGTGGAGAACGTACAACGTGGTCGTCATCTCGGATTACATTGCGCAGCGCGCGGAGAGGTTGGAGGACTTCCCGGAGGAAAAGCCGTTGCGACCTCCCTCGTCGTATCCCAGACCGGCGCCGCCAAAGGCCCCCCAGAAGACGCCGAAGAGGAAGAGATGCCACCCGTCGCCAGGAATTGCAAGGCAGCAGAATCGGTGGAGGGGAGGAGGTGGTTCAGCCCGCACGCACGCGGAATCTTGATCCAGTGCCTGGGAGCGCGGCGACGCTCGTTAAGGAGACTGTCGTGCCATCGCCGCCCTTCCCGCGCGTGCCCGATCTCAATCTCGATGGAGCCGGGCCATCAGCCGCAGCAGGGAAGCCGAATCGGATTACCGGATCCCGTATCCAGATCCCCCGTCCTCGCGGGACCTTTCCGCTTCTGCCAGCCACCCCGAAATGCCCCGATCATTGACATTAGTAGTTCCTCCGAGCCGGACGGTCCATCCGACAGAGGTGGATTTCATGGTGGAACCCACCACCATCAGGCTCGAGGCCATCGTGGGGGCGCCGCGCCCTGATCCGGCGTGGGAGCCATATCTGACACCACCTTTTCAAGGGTGTATCGCGGCGCGACTGGCGGGGACGCTCATCTATGAGACCGGGCAGCGTCCCAATGTGATGTACCATTTCCTTGTCTTCGCGGCGCAGAAGCGGGAGCGGCGGCCTTACACCGAGATTCATGTGGTGATGACGGGTCCAGGACCCCGATCGGTGCGCAAGCGGGTGGTGCGAGCGGTGGCGGATCTGGCGCCATGTGTCCTGTCTCATGTGCCGGGGGCCTTCCTCTATCCTTCGTTCGTCCTACCCCACTTCCATGAGGAAGACGCGCCGACGACTCCCACGGCAATGGCCGCTTTTCTTCCACCTATTCCGCCCCCTCTCAATCCCGACATCGATCACTTCCTCTGATCACCCTCGTCTACCTCTCCCCTCTTCTCTCCTCCTCTTTCTCTTCATCATCTTCATCTCCTATGCCCAAAGTTCGCGCGTTGAGACGCGCTGTGTATAAAAAAAAAAATAATAATAAATAAAAAAAAATCAGTGGACTACTTACCGATCGGGCCAGCTGACGATGAAGGGGCCGCACGATCGGATGTATAATAAGCGGGAGATGACTGACGATGCGAAATGCGTCGAAGTAGGATAGGAGATGCTCGGGCCAGCTGACGATGAAGAGGCCGCCCGGGCATCCAAAATACGATGACATCAGCAGTCGGGAGACTACTAATTTTTCGGAACCCCCTGCGTATCACAGATGTGATAAGCTCAGACCCGTACCGCGCGGCTTGCCGTATCCCTGAGGAAAAATCCCCCGGAAGCCCCGAAGTACGGATGCGAACAAAAAGGGGTTTTTCTTTCTTTGTGCTTTTGCTTTCCTTTTTGAAACGGCTTTTTCATTTTTTTTTTTTTGGCTAAATAACTCCCGCGCGGGTGAATAGCGGCCGCGGTATGAAAACCAAGAAACGGTTTCGGTTGGGACTTTTTGAATTTTTGCGCGCGCACGACTAAGCTCCGATTTCTTCGCGCGTCTCGCACCCCCGTTTCTTGCTTTGCATCCCCGCGCCATCTTCCTTTTTTGCTGCGCGTGTTTCCCTCAAGTCGGACTCTTCGTCTTCCCCTACGCCCAGCTTGATCCTTACCCCGTCTTCCTTCGTGAAGTGATTGGCTGCGTAGTTGGGATGCTCGGATCAATGTGGAGAGCGGGAAACCGTGCACCACTTGAACGAACACCCCAATCACGTAGGACCATGCAACCCCGCGGGTCGAACCCTCTGACTTCCCACCTTTCTTTTGCCCTGCCCATCTACACTCTGCGCTGCCCGCACCTCACGCTGACAACCTGCCGCCTCCTGCGCTATAAATTTGCGCAACCCTCTCCTCTCCCTCTCTTTGATCTCGGCTGCAATGCTGCGCGAGCTATGCGCGAAGTCCGCGGCGCCGAACAGGCTCTCGCGCCTTTCTTTTTGAACTGGTAGTCATCGCTTTTGAACTTCTCGTCCCGGCATCGGTGACGTCAACCGCCTGCGTCCGTGCGCGCGGTCGACGCCCCCGCGACGGGGAAGAGAACTTAGTTTCCATCACCTTCTTCCGGCGCACCAACCTTGAGATGGAAGGGTTACATCGAGTGTTGTATGGAGACGGTGTTGGTACGGAGGACCGGGAGCGCGGGGTTTGGCCCGTGTTCATCGCCTGCCTCCGATCATCCCATCTCGCTACCGGCCTTTCCCATCGCAGATGACGACGGCGTCTACTGCGATGCGGATGTACGGCGCGCTTTGAGTCGAACGGAGCACGGAGCAAGTCTGTTGGCGGGACCCACCCCGGGCGTTTAATATTAGGGGAGACGGGTTCGTCTTGATTGATCGCTTCGATTCCCCGACTCTAATATTGCCTTATACGGATTTGACTGTGTTGCCCTGGTCGGCCGCTCACGCCACGTGGCGGCCGCAGTTTGATTGTCGCTGGTGTCGCCAGGGAGACTCGTGTTCTTGGCGACGACTGGTCCTGGGCTACAAGGGAGCGGCACGTTTCCCGGAGCTCTCCCGTAATGCGGGGGCGCTGCCCGCACAATTTCGAATTCGGGGGTCGGCAAACTCTCCCGTCGCTTCACCCTCTCGGAAACTTCCGCACGGACTTTGTGAGTCCGACGCCGAGGCCTGAAGGCCTCGAACCAACCACCTCTACAACAAAAACCCGACGGCCCGGTCTTCGGTCCTTAGCCGTCGTGGCCTCCTCCCCCTGCGGCCTTTCTTCGTTTTGATTCACTGCGGCAGTTCGTCTTTGCGGAACTATTCAGTTTTCGTCACCCTGGACTGACCCGACCTCCACGGGACTCCGTGGCGAAAGATTGATCCCGGGATAACCTCTGGTTCGAAACGAGAGTCCCCCGTTCCGACCGGGAGACTCAACCCCTACCGCCAAAAATCCTCGGCCACGCCCCTCCTATAACTCTGATCGGCGACTCGGTACGGGAAGCCGCTTCATTTAGCGTCCTGTATCGGACCGCAATCACAGCATAAGGGATGTTTTTTTTTTTTTTTTTAATTTATCTGGTGTTCGTGGATAGACGAGGGCCCTGACTGAACTGCTACCTAAAGGCAGCCCGAGTTTCAACTGCAATTGAAACTTGGGCCCTGACTAAACTGCTAAAACGCAGTTTCAATTGCAATTACAAACTGTTTTCGTGACTGCGCCGAAGTTACCCCTTTTTTGTATTTCTGTATGATGAGGAATCACTCACACGGGAGTCTTCCAATCTGAGGTTAGGGTTTCGAGCGATTGCCTCACCTTACCTCCTCTTTTGGGGGTGCAAGGGCAGTAGGTAAGCACCACTTGGGCTTGTACCTATGGATCCTGATAGGTGGAATGGGGCGTAGGGCTTAGGTTGGAGTGGATATCTTTCGTTCTGAGGTGAAGTCTTGGATGTTGCAGGTTATGTGGCTGCTGACACTTTGAGTAGCCTGTAGCCGGCTGAGGCCAGAAAGATGCTGGCTGGTGCTGCCTCCCCCCATTCTGTAACTCGTAGCATCAGGGGAGCTTGAGGCCTGGTAGAGAGATCTAAGGAAGGGCCAGCGGGCTGCATGACACTCGCGGGGTCTGTCTGTGTAAGGGACGCTGGACCCGTTTTCCAGCAGGTGACACTCCCCACCAATAGATGGAGCCTCTCCCCGACTGGTAGTGGCGTCTGCTCTTATCAGCATCACTACCATCGGCGGGGGTGTTTGAAAAAAAAAAAAGAAAAAAAAAAAGAAAGGGTCTAATAATGAGCTCTCACAATGGTGGAAGGGCATGTAACTCAAGAGATGGTGGCTGCTTAGCACTAAGTCTTGCAGGAGGGAAGCGTAGGGGTTGGTTGGAAGGGTAACCGTGGTGGGAGGCTTCTGTTCCTTTCTATTCCTGTTGGTATAGTCACAGATTGAACTTTAATAGTTTGGCAGTTTTCATGGACTATGCCTCTTGGGCTCAGCCAAAAAGAAAAAGGGGGAAAAAAAGGTCTTGGCTGTTCTGGAAGTCTTTCATCATAAGTATGTAGTCCTCAGCCGAAGCCCGGTAATGGCCCCGGTATCTCATTTGATCTGTAAATCCTCCTAAGGGACGCTGGGCCCGGTTCCCGGCACGTGCTGCTCCCCACAAGCATTCTCTCGGGTTGTTTCTTCCAAAAAAAAAAAAAAAAAAAAAAGGATTGGAGCAATGTTCCTGACGAAAAAAAAAGAAGAAAAGAACGGTGAACTCGGGTGTTTTTGAAACCCTAAAGGCAAAAACAACTCACGCCGGCAAAGAAACCACGCGCCAACTGGAAATGAGCGATTTCGGTCCAAAAGTATCCGTTGGGCATTTTCTTTTCTTTTTGTTTTCCCCTCTGACACCACGGTCAGGTCAGACACCACGGCCGTTGGTACTTCCGTCGCCTTTTCGAACTCGGCGTGGTATACACGTGTGTTTTTTGCCCATTCGACACTCAACGATGACAATGAATGTACTTACCTCAAAAAAAGAAACAAGTCTGGGCGCGGCCGGTTTTGAGTTCGCAAATGCAAAAAAAAAAATGCGGCAAAGATATCACGGCGCGAGTTTGAACCGGCAATTTCGGTAGAAAAGGATCCATGGGACCAACTCAGGCAGCAAATACGCAACATAGAAAAGAACCTCGTCCTCATCCCACAGGTTAAGCAACAGAAGATAGAGGAAGCAAGAACCTCCTTCGCAGACGAATGGCTGGGACCGAGGAGAGCAATCGCGGAGATGGACAACTCACAATTAACATGGCACAACTGGAGGAGGGACGAGCATACTTGGCCCTTCAAACCCTTGTCCTGCTTCTCTATCCGCTATGCAGCCACTCCTCCATCCTTTGTCATCATCCCAGTCCAGTCTCCCCCCTTCCCCACCCCCCCCTCCCCCTCCTCCACAGGGGAGCCACACGCCAACAGGGCTGCGGAGAGCGCCACGGGCAGATCTCAAGATGATTGAGGTTTAGAAGATTGGAACGGCAAGACGACCTGCATCCGGGTGTGTGAGAAACGACAACGATGGGCGGCATAAGGGATGAGTGGAGGATTCAGAGGAAGCCACAAACCAACAGAGCTGCGGAGAGTGCCACAGGAAGACCTCATGATGACAGAGGCCTATAAGACTGAAACGGCAAGACGACCTGCAACCCGGCGTGTGGGAAATGACAACGAAGGCCGGTACAAGGGAGGAGTGGAGGTCTGGGAGGATCTGATAACGGGACGACTGACAAAGCGAAAAACTGGGGGATAGCTGGAACCATATCATTGA